TCAGAACACATGGCAGCTGACATAACTGAGAGTTTTGGTTAAATAACATTTTACCTTGAAGGTTTAAAGCTAACCAAATTTAAGATTTACACATAGATCTTGGGGGGGGGGGGGGGGGGGGGGGGAGGTGCAGGCAATATTTAGAAAATGTGAATTTGAACTCTTTCAGAAACTAACAGAGGAATTTTACTTTAACAAAATTAAAGGTGTTTACACTTTAAAATGCAGAAAATGCGCCACTGGATTGGCTCCACTGACTGTTTTAAATCTGTGTTTTGGTAAAAGCTGTTTTATTTTGGATTTTTGTACAGTACCGTAAATCTTCAATTAAAAGCCCAATCTCTTTTACTAGCTCAGTGTGGCTACACATTTTGACAAATAAAGGCCTGTCTCAATCAGAGGCCTGGTCTGGTTGCCAAGCAGTTAATTTTTTTAAATAGAAGTTTGTCTGTTGTATAAAAGCAGGTAGATGACTACCTCAAATTATGTATTCTATAAGTTATTCATGTTCCTTTAATCTGTAAAGGTCCTCACATCAAATGAATGCTCCGTCCATCAGAGTTAGATCAAATGAATGTTTCATAATTGATATGTTATCTGAAGCCTATTTTTTATACAGTAATATTCAGACTGGTTTAAATCAACAATTTGATTGTATTTCCTGATCTTTGCTGAGCAACAGTTTTGTGTGAAATGAATTAAAAGCCTGTCCCAAATACAGGCCTGTTGAGTTCAGTGATTTAAGCAAATAATAGCCTGGGCTACTAATTCAAGTTTTACGGTAGGTTGTATTTTTAGTGTTTTATCTGCTGTGATTTTGCAGTGCTGCTACCTTTGGCCAGGTCCGTCTTGTAAAAGACATTTTTGACCTTAAACAGATGCCGCAGGAATGAGTCCTAAAACCTGGAGATTAGTTAGCATGTTAGCACTCCTGGTTCTTTTCAGTTATTTCATTTATAAGGACAACGCACAGTGATCAACATTTCTGTAAATCTGCCAGTGTTAGCCAGCTGGCTAGTTTTCAGCTGCAGTCCTTTGGTGAGATGTTTTGACACCAATAAAAGGATCAAATTGACAGGACAAAGACAGCGTGAAGACATAAAGACAACATTAACTGCAACAATTAGAAACTGTCAAGGTAGAACAGAAGACGTGCAAAGCAACAAGCAACAGCAGAGCACCAGAACAATGTTAGCAACACGGAGCACCAACACACATTCAGACATGCAGAGCAGCAACAGAAAGTAAACATATTAAATAGTCATTATGTGTGGTCACATGCACTAACAAGCCATGCGACACAAAGTAAGCTATTTAGATGGTCTAAAGCGGACGGCGGAGGGCGCATAATCCATGTCGCAAGTGTCATTGCTATTTAGATGCAGACGCAGTTGTCATTTTCACGCCCTGCGCCCTCGTCGTCTAACTAGCAAATGAACTTGCGCTTCTCTGGGTGTGTTGGTCTAAAAATGAGGAGTGGTCAGGCGCAGTCATGGCGCGTTGCTAGATAGATGGCGTAAAAAGCAAATGCGCCAGTGACCAACAAAAACCTGGTCTAAAGTCAAGTCTCTAGGCAGGTGCACAATGCGCGTGCACTCTGCTCAGACACACACGGAGCAGCCACACATATGCAAAAGATAACAAATAAAAATATGATTACAATGTGAAAGGTTATTATTGTGCACATTAAAATATTTATGAGAAACACGTCTTAATGGTCAGTCATTAATCAGAATGATCTAATCGCAGTAATAATGATCAGCATAATTTGTAATAATGACAAATGAAATTGTGAAATTATCTGACCAATCAATCATTTTTTTGAATGAAAACCAAAGTCCACACATTGCATTTATTTTAACATGTTATACTAGGCTACATTATATTATATTATTATATTGTAATCTGAGTGTAGAGAGGACACACATGCAAATAAGAGGCAGAACACAGCTCTAGGAAACATGTGAAAACAATTAACAAACGTGGGTGGGGGAGAAAACGCTGAGCAGGTCCTATAGCTGCAGGATCAGCACCTTGGGGAGCTCCGCGGCAGTCCTGACAGCTGTGCTCTGTTATATGATGAAAACAGGTTTGAATAATATTCCACAGATATTTAGTAAGATCTTTCTTGTATTAGTGATCCCACGCCTGCTTTACCTCGGGGAGCTTGGGTGCCTGTCTGCTGTCCTCGTAGATCTGGTTCTGACGGGCCTTCACCTCCTGCACGAGGAGATCCGTCTCCTCAGCTGTAAAACGCTCACTCTTTGCAGTTGGTAGGTCCGCCATCTAACTAGCTCTCCGCCATGCGCTCCAATCACGCCTCTTTTAAAGGGAATGAGAGGTGACACTCTGATTGGCTTATTGAATGATACGCCCAAAACACACCCATGACTAATTCACAGAGTAAGTCCAACCCTTTTAGACTCTCCGCCATGGCACACAGTCTGAAAACGCGCTGTCTAACAGCAAGTGACTGGGACACGTCCATGCGCTGCACACCTGGTGCTTTCAGGGGCGTTGGTGGCTTAGTGGTAGAGCAGGCACCCCATCTACAAGCCTGTTGCCGCAGCAGCCCGGGTTCGACTCCAGCCTGTGGCCCTTTGCTGCATGTCACTCCCTCTCTCTCTCCCCCTTCACACTTGTCTGTCCTATACATTAAAGGCTAAAAAGCCCCCCCAAAAAATAAATATCTTTAAAAAAAAATAAAATTAAAAAAAAAAGAGTTGCTAACAAGCGGCTAAATGAGACTACAGAACATCATCAGGCTGAACACTACTTTTCAGCTACGCTGTGGTGGTGACGCTGACGTCATGCTAACGTGGTGTAGTTCATTTGTAGCCTAATGTTAGCTTTTTACTTTTGGCCATTTCATTTACGCTGAAAAAGTTATAAAAACAATTGTAAGTATCATAAACATTTGTTTGTCTACAGGCTTTTTGTCGTGGGAACCAGGGTGTTGTTAACGCCCATATTGGCCTTCAAATAAACATGCCTCCAACACTCATGTGACATCCTGGTAAAATTAAAAAACTAAAGTCAAAACATTTTGAACCAATATTTTTCTTTTTCCACACACACCCTGCGTAACTGCTCTGATTTAAATACTGACACACACTAACTGTATGTTCCCTCATGTGTACCTGATGTTGTGTTCAGTGGTTCAGTTTTCACACATGATCTTCTGATAAATTTAAACACCAGCTCTGATTTGTATTCGCATGTAATTCTCAACATGTGACACGTCACTGCTGTTGATGTAAATCCTCAGGCGTTAAACACAACCAACAAAACAGAGGCCGCTCATTATGGAGCTGTTTATGAGTTTATTCTGCTGCGAGAATCTGTGTGTGTGTGTGTGTGTGTGTGTGTGTGTGTGTGTGTGTACTTCAGGGGTTTTTTGGGGGGTGCCGATAAAGGGATTGGCTGCTAATCTCTTCTTCCTCATCCCCCATCATCTTCATTTCGTTCTGCCCTTTCGCTCGTTCACAATATGGATCCTCTTGTGTGTGTGTGTGTGTGTGTGTGTGTGTGTGTGTGTGTGGGCTTGCTGGCTAAAGTGGAGCACCTCCGTTAGGGCAAACACAGACATCCAGACACTCATGTGAAGCGACTGAAAAGAGCCCCAAAAATTGACTTCAGAGACGTGTGAGCGTTTGAAGCAAATCAGCGAGTGATTAGAGACGAGAAGGAAGAACACATCAGATAAGACGAGGACACTGCGTTGTGTAAAGCGGGAGAGAGACGGCGAGGAGGGGGTATGAGAGCTTGAGATAAAGAGATCAGCTCCTCTGCATGGAAGTTGGCACAGCAAAAAAAAAACGCCCCTCCCCCACCCCCGACCGTCTCTACTTTCCTCTCTCCTCCTCTCATTCCCTCTGTGTCGCTCTGCCAGGGAGGATGTGACAGGACAAGGTAGCATCTTTCACTTTGATCCAGTCGGCTGCATCAGTGACCAGGCGATCAGTCTGAAGATCAGTGGGTAACTAGATTAGTCGACCTGCAGCTCAGTCAGACAGTAAACAGGAAGTCAGTCGTTCTGTCTCTGTTTGTTTCTACTCCTGTTTCTATTTCTCGTCTTATTTTTGCTTCCAGACTTGTTGTTAGCGCCTGCTACACTCTGCTCTGCTGGATTTAAGACTTCTTCTGCTCCTCCATCCTCCATCCATCCTTCTCCACCTCTGTTTGTTTTCCTCTCAGCTGATAATCTCAGCTCCATCTTGTTGTTGAAGGTCGACGAGCGACGTCTTTGAGTTGAAGCTGTGATTGCAGATCGGAGCGTCTCACAGCTGAGTTGTCAGAGAAATAAAAACAGACTGGACTTTTCAGCGGCGGCGGCGTCAGAGAAACGCTCCTCCAGTCTGAGTGTGTGTGTTTGGGAAATTTGGATAATCCTTCAGAGAGACTACCAACATGTAGCGTCCGAGCGTTAATCCAATCACATTCTGCTGCTGTCACAATAATACTGAGATGATGGTGATGAAGAGGAGGAGGTGGAGGAGCAGGGTTTGTGTTGCGGTCAGACATGTCTGATGACTCCTCACAGTTTGGGCTTCTCGGGCAGCACTCCTCCGTCTTGTTGGGAATAACCTCAGGCTGCTGATTTGGGGGAACTCTCTGCGTTCACGTCTTGTAGCTCTTCATTCACTCAGTGTTAGTGTGAGAAGTTGTTCTGTGGAAGAAGCCGATGAGACGGGAGTGATGTGCACAGACTGGGATACTGTGTCCAAACTGTGATGATAAAAACTGGGATTTTTTGGGATTCTATTTATTTTTAAAGCAGATTTTATGGTGGACGCAGACACAGAAGTTTTGGCTGTTTGAGTTGAAATCAACTGAGAATAAAAATGAATTCCTGTTGGAGGAATCAGGTAGGTGAGAGTGGTGCATGTGTGTCATTAGTACGGATTATGATCATTGCAGGAACACGTCTGTCGATGCTTTCTGTTTTATATTGACTGACCGGTGAATAATTTCTGTCGCCGTCATCACTGTGTGTGCAGGAGGAGCAGGCCGCCAAGATGAAGGCGGAGAACATCCGAGTGGCCCTGGAGAAGATCAAGGAGGCCCAGGTTAAAAAGGTGAGTCTGGTTAACACACACACACACACACACACACACACACACACACATACACACATGAGAGAGGAAGATGCTGTGTGTTGTGTGTGCATGTGTCTGTCTGTGTCTGGCACATGTCCAGCGGACTCGTTTTTCTGGGTCAGGTCAGTGTTACTCCACATGGAAAGCTCCGGTCAATAACAGCTGGGGTCATGCACACACACACACACACTCACACACACACACACACACACACGCGCAGCACTCAGCATAATGACCACTGCAAGTTAAGTCCCAATCCCTCAGAGAGAGACAGAGGCTGGATTAACAACCTGGATTTATTTCACACTGAGACCGAACACAGACAGGTATCAGTGTGTCTGTGTGTCCGTCCAGTCTGATCGTTGTTCTGCATCCTTCTGCACTGCCTCTGACTCTCTGTCACACAAACACATGAAGCACATGTTATCCACATGAAGGATAAGATGGTCAAAAGAGAACCATATGACAAGGCAAGTTTCTTGTCATGCAACTTTCGACTGTTGTATCATAAACAAGACTTAAAATAAGAGGCTCAGACGTAGAGCTGCACATTTGAGGGTCTGATATAAAGATCCAAATAACAATGGACGCACAGAAACCATAAGTCCTTTTTAGACAGGAGTTGTGCTAATTTGCAGGAAAGTCCAATCAGTCTTTTTTCAGCATTGGCAGTATAAAAACAAAATCGGGGAGTGCAGCAAAATGCCGCCTACCTACTTTTGTTTATACAGAATGTGCCTTTTTCGGGGCAATGGGGGGCGTGAGCAAGTAACAAAACGTGTAGCTCAGCGTGGCTGTCAGGTTTGTGTTTCCCTCTTGCTACTAGCTGCTCGCTAATTCCTGCTATCAGCTGTTTCCTGTTTATCCACCGCCAGTGGCTCGCACATGCGGCGTCATCAACAGCTCCTCCCACAAGTCATCAACAGCCCCTCCTGTTGCAGAAGGCCGCCTTGTTCTTTTTAAACCAAAAAGGTTCCGCCAATATGTCTACCCTACGAGGCGGAAAATTGGGCACCTCGGATCAACTCACCAATCCGGCTCTGTGTGTCTAAACGCTCGCAGCTTGCCGGCAAAACGGCCCAACATTCGCAGAAAATCTGACAGTGTAAAAGGGGCTGTAAATAACCCACCGTTATGTCTATGGAGATGTTGTGTTTTCAGTTTGTCTCATCTGTTCTCGTGAACAAGATATTTCAGCAACACCTCCTGGGAATTTGTTCAAATTTGGGACAAATGTCCACTGGGACTCGAGAATGCACTGATTAGATTTTGGTGGACAAAGGTCATTTTTGGCCATAACTCAAGAATTCATTTACTAATGAGCAGTCCTCTGCCTTCGGGCTCGGTCCCTAATTATGATACATATTCCCACAACAAATATCCAATAGGATAAAATGATGATGTTTTATAACCAAAATATAAACTTCACTGTGACATCATAATGTTTTGTGGCCATTAATCATCTGGTCAGACACTAAACTTGTGACACTAATCGTACTTAAGGGGATATTGCACCCAAAAATGTAAATTCAGCCATTATCTACTCACCCATATGCCGAGGGAGGCTCAGGTGAAGTTTTAGAGTCCTCACATCACTTGCAGAGATCCAAGGGGAGAGGAGGTAGCAACACAACTCCACCTAATGGAGGCTGACGGCGCCCCAGATTCAAACGTCCAAAAACACATCATTGAAACCACAAAATATCTCCATACTGCTCGTCCGTAGTGATCCAAGTGTCCTGAAGCCCCGACATAAAAAGTTGTTTGGAAAAACCTCATTTGAACTCTGTTTTTAGCCTCATTGTTGCCTGTAGCTCTGACTGCCTCTCTGGGCACCGCAAAATAAATAATCTTCTCTGTTTCTCCTCTCTCTTCACAGTTGGTGATTCGAGTTCATTTGTCAGACGAGAGTTCAAAGACGATGATGGTGGACGAGAGACAGACAGTCAGACAGGTACGACTGGGACTCTCATTACACCTGTGGACAGCAGGGGAGATGTTTGAAAACCAGTAGCTGTCGCAGCAGCAGTAACAGTGTCTGTGTCAGGGACGCAAATAATAATATTTGTAACATTTGTCACAAGCAGAGCTGCAGTATCTACAGTACAGTTGATTTTAGTGTTGCCAAGAGTAAAAAGCTAACAGTAAGCTAAAAACAAACTACACCACGGTCGCTGACTTCAAAGTCAAAGCCACTTGTTAGCAACCACCTTATTAGGACACGTCAAAGCTTCAAAATTCACTGTATTTACTGTATTTACTGATGTGTTTCATGAACAAAACCTGACGGTGTCTCTGAAGACATTATTTCAGGCAGCTAACCAAAAACATTCAAAATACCCATTGACTTTGACACGAGGGAACTGGGAGTGCTAACATGCTAACTCATTCTTGGGTTTTTGGACTCTTTCCTGCAGCAAACTATGAACAGCAGTAAAATAGCATCATCAGGAGCAGAAGTATTAGTAGGAGTAGTGTCGGTGCAGTGTCGTCCTCACGGTGTCTTCTGTCCTTCAGGTTTTGGACAGTTTACTGGAGAAGTCTCACTGTGGCTACAGTCCAGACTGGTCACTGGTGGAAACCATCAGCGAGCTGCAAATGGGTGAGCGCACACACACACATTTCTTGTTCTGACTGGTGCTGTGTAGAGCTTCATATCACCGTCCCACCGTGAGTGGAGGTTACTGTAGAGCAGACATCATATTTCAGCTGATTGAATGAATGATGTCACATGTTGTAACTGGATTATCTGGCTTCAGTAAGGACTTGAACGAAAGTGAGGTGCTGTTACAGCTCAATATGCTGCAGTGACTTCACTCTGCTGATCAGTGAAGTTCTGACACTGCTGAAGATTTTTGTAGCAACAGATTAAAGTCATTTCTAACGAGTTTACTAAAGACAGTTTTTTAAATGGTGCAACCTGATTAAGTTAATTACTAACTTATTCCAGACCTCCAGGTGTGTGTGTGTGTGTGTGTGTGTGTGTGTGTGTGTAAGAAGCACATTATTAAGTGTATTTGTCAGTAACATTGTGCCCAGCAGTGCCTGTCAGACAGCACAGATATTCAGCCACAAAGATGTGAGTGCACACACACACACATAAACACACACACAGCTCCCTAAGGGGGCGAGATGTGTGTTTGCCAGCACACACTGTACTACGAGCTTCAACTCCACTTAACACTCTTTGACAAACACACACACACACACACACACACAGAGTCTTTATGTAGGTCCGGTGCGATGATGCGTGTGATCTAACCTACATCTTCAGGGCTTCTGCTGAACAACGACTCAGCGACGTTATGAAACAGAGACAGAGAGAAGGTGGAGCTCATCCTGCCACGTTCAGCCAAACCTGAACCTTCTACTCCGTCTGTGTTTCCAAAAACCTCGCTGAGGGCCACGACTGGGCCTGAGGAAGATTTAAATTAGCTCCTGTGTTCATTAACCCTTTGACAGAACACACACACACAAACACACACACACACACACACACACCACACACACCAGCACCACCAGCACCACCAGCACCCTGCTGTGTGCCCTTTGGCAAGACACTGACTTCCTGTCAGATCATAACCTCTGACCTGTCACTGCTTCCCCACAGGAAATATAATGATTATCATCACAATACAAAGAATGATTCTTTTCCTGATTATTATTTTAAGTAGCACAAGTAGTATCATAGTCATTTAGTATATAGTAGTATAGTGACATAGTTTTTAACGACATGCTATACTATGACTTTTTTCCATGATTTTTGACGACATGCTATACTATGACTTTTTTCCATGATTTTTGACGACATGCTATACTATG